CTTGTGTGTGTGTGTGTGTGTGTGTGTGTGTGTGTGCGCGCGTGCATGTGTATATGTATATTTATGTATCTCTATGTGGGGTGGGAGGGTTGGGTTTTCTCTTTTCTTTTTGTTTTCAGTTTTGGATCTTTGTTGTTTTTAACCTCTGTGAGGCACTTTGTGTTACTGTTGTATGAAAAGTGCCATATAAATAAAGTTGATTTGATTTGATTTGATTTTGATTTGATGTGATATTCTGAAAAACGATATGGGCCTTTATACAGGCTTCATTTGGACACGGCCACTTTGCTTGACACAGGCCTCAGGACTTCAGTATCAGAGGTAACATCACTACTATTGGGTGCTACATCAAAATCTGAAAGTCTTTCCCCTTTCATTTCATAGAGTAACTCTCTTAATTTGTCCACTCTCCGTTGTGTTTACCAGTTTATTTGCAGGGTTTTTAATTAATTGTTGTCCTTCCTGGTCTAGTGAAAACAACTTTAATGGCCAAGCTCCAGGGCTTTGAGTTCTGGAAGAAGACCCTGAAAGGAGCACGCTTTGTGGTGGCACCCATGGTGGACCAGAGCGAGCTGGCTTGGCGCCTGCTGAGTCGCCGACATGGTGCTCAGCTCTGCTACACCCCCATGCTGCATGCCCAGGTGTTTGTTCGCGATGCCAACTACAGGAGAGAAAACCTCTACAATGAGGTGTGTGAAGAGGACAGACCTCTCATCACACAGGTGAGGTCATCTCCATGTTGGTAATGATGGTTGACTGGAACATTTCCAGGCATGTTGATTTTCCTGTGCAGTCGCCACGGGCTGGTCACCAGGTGCTTTATGTATTTGTTCTTACAAAACATTGTTCCTCATATAATTCCAGTAAATCACAGTGTTGCATTCCCTCTGTGTCAGTTTTGTGCCAATGATCCAGAGGTATTCCTTCAGGCGGCCCTGTTGGCCCAGGACTACTGCGATGCCATTGACCTCAACCTGGGCTGTCCACAAATGATCGCTAAGAGAGGTACACACACTTCTGACAGGAATTAAGCCCCAAATTCTGACTTAGGTGACGCCCAGTGGTTGTATCAGGAATACACTAGCCTCTTTTAGACAGCCTCTTCAAGGCAGGAATTTCACACCTTTATGCCACTAGGCTTGGGCAATTGGACGAGTATATCGCCAATCGCCCATTGGCTGAGTCCATCACGGTTGGTTTCATTTTTGGCGATTTTTTTGGGCGATTTTTGTCATTCTATTTTGCTAAATTAATGGTCTGTCTCCACAGAATTCAACTCGGTACATATAGTCCATAATTACTATGTAGAGCACAATTCAAAGTGTGTGCGTATTGGAACTGGCAGCTTAACACTGATTTCCGACGAGTCTTTCACAAAACACGTCACTGATGGCGGAGCTGAAAGTTACGGCTGGGGTCCACCGGGCACGTCAGCGGTGCGACACGTCTGCAGTGCGAGTCCTGTAGCAGCTCGCCCCCCTGTTAATCAATTACAGCGGCTCCACTGGCAACGGGAGCGGCGCGACAACCCCCGTCTGCCGCGCGACAACTCTGTATTTTAGGATGCTTTTCTATTTTTGTCGCACTACGCTCCCAGTAGATAAAAACTACATGAAATAGTGTGCTAAACGAGCACAATGTGTTTTTAAATGAATAAACCATTATCAGAGGTGATATGTGATGATTTTTTTTTCATGCATTTACCCATGTTTATCTGTGACATTGTGTAAATGTCCGTGGCGGACATTTGAAAGCGAGTAGATGACAAACAGTACAGTAAACTTGTAGATAACTCAAATATATGTAATAACTGGAAAATGCTGTAACTATCATGGCTCAGCAAACGGTAAACAAGACGCTTGACGTGACGCTTACATTTGCAGCCGGTGGAACCCGGCCATAACGTTAATTCATAAACCATATTTGAGAACTACATCAAAAAAGATGTGCAGTTGTGCACCCCGATCGTTATAGTAGGACAGGTATGTTATCCCTATCTCCCACCTGTTTGCTGATTTAGAGGCTGTGAGCGAATGCGTCCTTCTGCAGCCGTCAGACTCTTTTTAAAATGGTGTCGAACAGTTGTTTTCAGCCCATCTTTACAGCTTATTACTCAGCAAAGATCTCAAGGTGATTTTTTTTTTTTTTTTTTTATGAATAAGACTATAGCCTATAGGCTGTATGTTTCAGTAAAATTTCAATTCGGTAATTTTGACATTAAAGACCACAGTCAGACAGTAAGGCGCAGGTAAATTTATTGAAACAGAATCAACAGTTGGTCGGTCCACAAAAGTTACACAGTAACAGTAGCCTATGATAACAAATAAGTAAATATAAACGAAGGACATTGGAAAAATAAAGTGCAAAAATCACACAATCACATAAAATAATGATGTCCACTCCCTTTGCACTGTCTTTATAATAATGCTGTTGTGGACGTGGCAAAAAAAACTTAAGCTGTTATAGCTGTTCTAAAAGCCTCTCGTAGGCTTATTGCTTGAATAAATAAATACAAATAATAATAAATATAGGCTAAACGAAGAACAATGGAAAAATAAAGTGCAAAAATCACATAAAATAATAAAGTCCCTTTGCACTGTCTTTAACTCAAAAACACAGTGTTTTACATGTTTTTGGAGAGGAAAACAAGCATGTTAACCTTATCTGGCTTAAGCAAAGTGCGCATATGGTTAACAATGTTACCAGCCGTGCTAAACACCCTCTCTGATGGCGTGCTTGTTGCCGGTATGCACAGATATTTCTGTGCCATGTTGGACATGAGTGGGCTCGCAAAGCACGCTGCATTTTTTTGCTGCATTCATGTGGTGTCGGGAGATCCGAGTTGTTTTTCTGACATGAGGTGGCGTTCATGTGAATTATCCCATTCTGAAAGTCATTTTTCGATTCTTTCCAACATCACATGAATGCAACATCCCCCCTCTTTTTTTTTTTTCTCCGCCACACACACAACTGCCAAATATATTGGCAGCTGCTGGTTGATGGGCTGACGGTGGCCGGTTGGAAATTTTTAACATATCGCCCAACCCTATATGCCACCTCACTGTGCTGTATAAAAGGTACAACTGCGGAATAGGGTGACAGAGTGGTTACAGCTTTAAAACGACTGTGGAGGTAGTAACAATGCCAAATAATGTCTGCATAAATGTGCCAGCCAGCAGTACTGGATCATGTGAGGCTAGGTTGTGATGTTTTAAGTACGTGTTAAGTGTGTGACCCATCGCTGGACATTTAAAAAGTAGCTGATAGCAGTTGGCAGCTAACTTAAAGAAGAAGAACAGCAGCAGAAAATGTCCACAAATTGACCCTTTGCTAAGCCCTGCCCCTTTGTGATCGTCCGACAAGCTGTCGGAGTAAGCATGGAGCCCACACTGTAACTAACTGCACTCCCTGAAAAAATATTATCATATTTTTGGAAAACTGAAACAGTGATTCCAGAGAGAAGCAGACAGAGGGGTCTACAGTCTGTGTTTGAAGGATATATCGAGGATGTCAAACTGACTCAGCAGCAACAACAGGTTAAAAAGACAAAGATAGTTAGAAGCTAAAGCTGAACTATAGGCTACAGATCACAGTGTTAAAGTGAACCACCACATCACTGCTGATCGCCACACAAGACAATGAATATAAAGGCAAACTTCACCGATATTGAACCAGCTGTGTGACATCACAGTGTGTGCAGATGAACGGTGTTTGGCTTCGCCCCCATGCTGCTGCCAGCAACCGGACCTCCGCCACCGGACAAGCCGGGATCTCCGGGGGAAGTCAAACAACATTCATCTGTGCACAATGCAATGACACACAGCTGGTTGAATATCAACAAAGTTTCCCTGCTTCCCTTCACTGGTTCCTGTACAGCAGGGTCAGTCTTTGTTTCACTGTTATAATCATTAAAAAGCAAAAGCAAAAGCAGCATGTGTATACATTCAGTAGGCTATATCTTCAGTAGCTAACGTGAGCTAACCCTACACTTTTCAGGGTTTGATTTTGGTTTTGAAACAGGCAAGAAACGTAAATCTCTTTCCTACCTCTCCAGGTAATGAGTATCATTAATACATGACGTGCCCCAGGCACAACATTTAGCTCCAAATCCACAAAACCAGCCTGAAAATGAAGGAAATCTGAAACAACTGCATTAGAGTTAATGGAGCACGGGTATGTTGTTGTCGGACCCTGGTCTGAGCCGTCCCGATGCTACATTATGATTGGCCAGTCCGCATCCGGGGGCGGGACTTAGCAAAGGGTCAAGCTCCTTACCCTCCGAACAGAGGACAAGGTCTGCCGCCAGATAACATGGACAGTAGATGATTGTTATGGACTTGTTATGACACTGTTATTGTTCAGAAAGTGCTGCTGATGCGTATGTTGTATGTCATGCTAGAGGCTGACACTATTGTGTCACATGTCACGCTTCTTTTGCTTCTGGGATGTCTGCATGCTGTCTAAAATCACTCACCAATGCCGCAGTCGTTTGGTTCTATGTAAAAATGCAAAAAGCGACATGAAGTAGGGACTTCATAGTGGCCCTATAGTGTGATCTCTGTGTTATCAGTAGCCCTTTTTACACAGAGATCACACTATAGTGGCCCTATAGTGTGATCTCTGTGTAAAAAGGGCTACTGATAACAACCTTGCTGTGAAATCAGAACTAACCTGTCTTGATGTTTGTTCCTAAGGGCACTATGGAGTTTTCCTACAAGACGAGTGGGAGCTGTTAGAGAAAATGGGTAGGTCTGTATTTAACTCACTGTAGGACTCTGATCTCTGTCAAAATGTAATTTCTAGAGAAGATCCAATTTCTTGCACCAGTGTAATGCCACTTGAGCACAAATCACCACAGTCACCCATCATTTCCCTCTTATTTTACAGTCAGGTTAGCCAATGAAAAGCTCTCAGTGCCCATCACATGCAAGATCCGTGTGTTCGAGGAGGTGGAAAAGACAGTCTGCTATGCTCAGATGCTGGAGAGAGCTGGGTGTCAGGTGTGATCAATATTTAATCAAACAGAGATTGATTAACTGATATGGATCTTATTTTAATGTTCAGATTGTTTACTTATATTCATTCATTCATTTCCGTAACCGCTTATCCTCTAGAGGGTTGTGTGGGGGCTGGAGCTTATCCCAGCTGACATTGGACGAGAGAGGGTACACAGGACAGGTTGCCAGACTTTCGCAGGGCTAACACATTGAGACAGACAACCATTCACACTCACATTCCCCCTACGGTCAATTTATCCCCAACCTGCATGTCTTTGGACTGTGGGAGGAATACATGAGTACCCGGAGAAAACCCACACTGACACACACAGAAGGGCTCCCTCCTGGGTTCAAACCAGGAACCCTCCTGTTTTGAGGCAACAGTGCTAACCTCTAAACCACCGTGCCGCCATGTTTACTTATATTTATCTTTAAAATCTGCCTTTAATGCAGTTTCAAGAAGCAATAGAAAGGTGTTAAAAAGCCCTAAGTTTGTCTTTGTCAAATATCTTTCCAGCTGCTGACAGTGCATGGCAGAACCAAAGACCAGAAAGGAGCCATGACAGGTGTTGCTAACTGGGTGCACATCAGGGCCGTGCGGTGAGCTACCACCCCCTTTTTCTAACACTTCACATGTACTGTATTTCATCTATTTTAAAGCTAAATTGCAATGCACAATATTTATCATGATATGAAATATCCTGTAAAGTACTGTAGACTACTAACATACAAAATTATTACATGGTCTACAGTTACAATAAAATTTAATGGCCACTGTCAAAATAAAGAGGAAGAGCTGTTATAATAAAGATAAATAAATTCTCTTACAATAATGTTAAATACAGTATATTCGGTAGTTAAAAAAAAGTATACAAGATATAATTAAATAAATCAAAGCGGAACCACACTTATTTTGAACCATTAGGCTCATCTCAGGCAGGGAGTGTTGATGTTTTTACCATGACCTTGAAGCTTCTGGTCAACAGTTGCTGTTAGCAGTTAGCACAAAACTTAAGTTGAGGTCTGGAAAACCACTCAAACTTTCTGAGAGAGCTGCCTGTAGAATTGTTAGAAAGGCAAATCCAACCCCCTGTTTGAAAAGACCTGCAGAAAGATTTATCAGAGTCTGAACTGGTGGTGCACTGTTCTACTGTGCAGCGGCATCTGTACAAATTTGACCTTCATGGAAAAGTCATCAGAAGAAGACCTTTCCATTGTCCTTACCACAAAACTCACCATCACAAGTTTGCAAAAGAACATCTAAACAAGTCTGAGACTCTTTGGAAACAAGTCCTGTAGACTAATGAAGTTAAATAGTACTTTTTGGACGCAATGAGCAAAGGGATGTTTGCAAAAAAAAAGGATGCAGAATTTAATGAAAAAAACACCCGTCCAACTGTTAAACACGTGTGTGGATCGATCATGCTTTGAGCTTGTGCTGCAGCAAATTTCCAGCAAATTCTGGAAGCAAATATCACACCATCTCTAATAAAAGAGAGGATGGCTTCTGCAGCAGGACAATGATCCTAAACTCGAAATCCACAATGGACTACCTCAAGAGGCACAAGCTGAAGGTTTTTTCCATAGCCCTCACAGTCCCCTGACCTTAACTTCATTATAGACCTCAAAAGAGCAGTGCATGCAAGGTGGCCCAAGAATCTCACAGAACTAGAAGCCTTTTGCAGGAAGGATGGGTGAAAATCCCCCAAACAAGAACTGAAAGACTCTAAAGCCTACTTTACACTACATGGTTTAAGTGACCCAATTCTGATTTTTTTTCCTCTCAAGTGGCACAGATCGCATGTATAACATGAACGTGTGAACAGGAAAAAAAACGCATGATATCGGATATTGTCAGATCAGATTCAGGCCTCCTTCATATGTGGAAATATATTGGATATGAATCAGATATCTGCCAATAGCTCTGTAATCTAAACAGACAGATCGGATATTTCCTGGCAATCCACATCGTACGTCATGAATAATGCGACGACAGCGCATTGTGATGACGTGTTCATGAGCGAGGGAAAGGAAGGAAAGCCGAATAAATCGCATGTTAATCAAAAACTATGAACCAAAAAAGCACAATCTATCCCGAGTGAGACAAACTGCTTGATCCCCCTCTCCAGTGTACCAGCAGAGAACCTGCAGAACCCAATCAGCGAAAAAACACACCGGGCTACACAGCCTCTCTACCTGAGCAGCTGAAGCTGCAGCTCGCACCCTCAACACACAGACTGTGCTTCCTCATGCCAGCCAAAGGTGTGCGCAACTGTAAGAAATAAATATGTGAGGTGTACGCTGCTTTTCTATCTTTTTTTATTTTTCTTTCTTTTTTTCTGTCAGCGACATACACTCCTAAGGCAGGACGGGTTGTTTTTATTGACTGAGTTGATTATTAAGCCATAGTGATGCGCGGATCGGCTCTGATAGCACCCAAATCAGCATGTACCTATCAATCATCCAGCCGCACCCATCTGCAGCTGCACGGACATTTCCACCGCTCTGTGTAGGCTAAGTTACCTTTTAAATTATGTGGAGCAGTGCCAGCTTTCCAGGTGATTTATTCTTTAACGATTAACTTCAAATATTTAAATTTAGTCCTTAAAATTGCTTTCAGTAATGTAAATATTTCCATGCGCGCAGTAATGTCACTGTAGCAAATACCGTGGGACATTTACACAGTGGTCAAGAGAGCTGGACCGGAAGTGTCGCACAAAAAAACGGAAGCTGGCTGCGTTCTGTTTTGCGTCTGTGTCTCTGTGAAAAATAAGGTGAATAGAACATGTAAATAGCAGTCAGGAAAAATCGGATATAGGCAACAAATCGGAATTGGGCATCAAGACATGGTAGTGTAAAGGCAGCCTTAGCTGATTACAAAAAGCATTTAGAAGCTGTGATACTTGCCAACGGGGGTGTTACTAAGTACTGACCATGCAGGGTGCCCAAACTTTTGCTTCAGGCCCTTATCGTTTTTTGAAACTGTGAAAGATTGAAATTAAAAAAATATATATTAAAAGAAAAATTGTAGAATTGTGTCATCTTTAAATTTGCCTTTTGGAGATCTGGTCATCTTTCACTTGCTTAGCTATTTACAATAAATTAAATTTGGAGGTGCCCAAACTTTTGCATGCAACTGTCTTGGCCACCCCTACTTTAGGTTATAACCACATGACTGGCAGTTCTTGGTGTTTGAAAACAAGGTATGTTCAGTAACTGTTTGGTGTGTTTTTGCTGCAGGAAGGCAGTCAGTATTCCAGTGTTTGCAAATGGCAACATTCAGCACCTGAGTGATGTGGAGCGCTGCATTCAGGAGACAGGAGTGCAGGGAGTAATGAGTGCAGGTTAATGATGCAGGCTTACAGTGGCTCATTACAAACTGTTTTTGCTATTTCAGTGGTATTAATGGATGATATGTAATGTACATTAATGCTCAGGGTATGGATTGTTTCAAAACTCATTTCAGTGTTCATCTCTATTATTTGTAGAGGGGAACCTTCACAATCCAGCACTGTTTGAAGGACGCAGCCCCCCGGTGTGGGAGATGGCTGAGGAATATCTTGAGGTGGTGAAGCAGCATCCCCCCTGCACTTTATCCTATGTTCGAGCCCACCTCTTCAAGCTCTGGCATCACACGTATGTCTCTTTGGCTGGGTTTGATGCATATACCTTACACCTGCAATAAAAGATAACTGTCTCTATGCTATTAGTCAAAGAAAGATAAGGCAGTCCTCATCCTTGAATGCTTAAAACATGAAATATTTCCAATTATATTCCCCCTCTCTCAGTTCAATTCATTTCAGTTAAATTCAATTCAGCAGGTTTCATTGGCATAACGTGTGTATCATAGGTGTGCTGTATACAGGGCTCCAGACTTAACTTGTTTAGTGGGAGCACTGTAGTCCCTAACTGAAACTTTTAGGAGCACAAGCAGAAAATTTAGGGGCACACCTTAAATCATATTGCAATGCAATTATTCACTTTTTTGTCATTTTAATTGTATTATAAACTATATGTAGTCTACTGTATATTAACATTGGACTGTTTCAATTATTGAAGTAATTAGCATCACAGAGACTTGTGGTCAGTGAGATGTGAGGATTGTTAAAATAACATCTGTACAGATGTGAAGCCCTGACTATATCAATCAATCAATCAATCAATCAATCAATCAATCAATCAATTTTATTTATAAAGCCCAATATCACAAATCACAATTTGCCTCACGGGTCTTTACAGCATACAACATCCCTCTGTCCTTAGGACCCTCACAGTGGATAAGGAAAAAGTCCCCCCAAAAAAACCTTTAACGGGGGAAAAAAACGGTAGAAACCTCAGGAAGAGCAACTGAGGAGGGATCCCTCTTCCAGGACGGACAGACGTGCAATAGATGTCGTACAAAACAGATCAGCATAATAATAACAGTAATCCGTATAACACAATGAGACAGAGACAGAGACAGAGAGAGGTACAGGACAGACGGCAATGACAGTAGCTTACAACAACATTAATGAAAGCAATAATATTATAGTTATAATTCTGGCTATTTTGGTACAATATGTTGAAAGTATATATTAATATCTGATAGTGTACATATGTGACAATAATCATATGTGTATATTAACAGTAGAAGTATGACTAATGATAACAGCAGCAGCAGGAGGCATCTGGCAGGACCACGGCAGTAGCACAGCCACACACATCACACTAACCAGGCACCGCTGTGATATAAGTTAACCTGCGAGACATTGGAGCACAAAGGCTCCAGAGAAGAAGCCAAGTTAGCAAGATGCAGTAACAGGACATGAGAGAGAGAGAGAGAGAGAGAGAGAGAGAGAGACAGAAGGTGCCCGGTGTATTATAGGAGGTCCCCCGGCAGACTAGGCCTAAGTCTCTGTCTCTCTCTCTGTCTCTCTGTCTCTGTCTCTCTTTCTGTCTCATTGTGTCATATGGATTACTGTTAATTTATTATGCTGATCTGTTCTGTGCGACATCTATTGCACGTCTGCCCGTCCTGGAAGAGGGATCCTTCCTCAGTTGCTCTTCCTGAGGTTTCTACCGTTCTTTTTCCCCGTTAAAGGGTTTTTTGGGGGGAGTTTTCCTTATCCGCTGTGAGGGTCATAAGGACAGAGGGATGTCGTATGCTGTAAAGCCCTGTGAGGCAAATTGTGATCTGTGATATTGGGCTTTATAAATTAAATTGAAATAAATTGAAATTGTAGTCAGCCTAACTAGGGGCTGGTACAAGGCAAGCCTGAGCCGGCCCTAACTATAAGCTTTATGAAAGAGGAAAGTCTTAAGTCTAGTCTTAAATGTGGAGACAGTGTCTGCCTCCCGGACCACAACAGGAAGATGATTCCACAGGAGAGTGAGCCTGATAGCTGAAGGCTCTGGCTCCTGATCTACTTTTGGAGACTTTAGGGACCACAAGTAACCCTGCATTCTCAGAGCGCAGTGTTCTGGTGTGATAATATGGCACTATGAGCTCTCTAAGATATGACGGAGCCTGACCATTTAGAGCTTTATAAGTTAACAGTAGGATTTTAAATTCAATTCTGGATTTTACAGGGAGCCAGTGCAGAGAAGCTAAAACAGGAGAAATATGATCTCGTTTCTTAGTTCCTGTTAGTACACATGCCGCAGCATTGTGAATTAGCTGGAGAGTTTTTAAAGACTTACTAGAGCTACCTGATAATAGGGAGTTACAGTAATCCAGCCTTGAGGTAACAAAAGCGTGGACCAATTTTTCTGCATCTTTTCGGACCAGGATAGGCCTAATTTTCGCAATGTTAGGCAGATGCAAAAATGCAGTCCGTGAGGTTTGTTTTAAATGAGAATTAAAAGACAAATCTTGATCAAATATTACTCCGAGGTTTCTTACGGTAGTGCTAGAGGCCAGAGCAATGCCATCTAGAGAAACTATGTCATCAGATAAAGAGTCTCTGAGTTGTTTGGGGCCAAGAACAATAACTTCAGTTTTGTCTGAATTTAACATCAGGAAATTGGTGCTCATCCAGGTTTTTATGTCTTTAAGGCAGTTATGAAGTTTAATTAATTGATTACTTTCTTCTGGCTTCATCAATAAATACAACTGTGTATCATCTGCATAACAATGGAAATTTACAGAGTGATTTCTAATGATTTTACCTAAAGGAAGCATATATAGAGTAAATAGGATTGGTCTGAGCACAGAATCTTGCGGAACTCCAAAACAAACTTTAGGACGTAAGGATGATTCATCATGAACGTGAACAAATTGAAAACGATTGGATAAATAAGATTTAAACCAGCTTAGTGCAGAACCTTTTAGGCCCATTAAGTGTTCCAGTCTCTGTAGCAGAATTTGATGGTCAGTTGTGTCAAATGCTGCACTAAGATCTAATAAAACAAGTACAGAGATGAGTCCTTTGTCTGAAGCAATCAGAAGATCATTTGTAATTTTAACTAGTGCTGTCTCAGTGCTATGATGCACTCTAAATCCTGACTGAAATTCCTAAAATAAATTATTATCATGGAGAAAATCACACAGCTGGTCTGCGACTACTTTCTCAAGGATCTTTGACAGAAAGGGAAGATTAGATATTGGTCATTAGTTGGCTAACACCTCTGGATCCAGGGTGGGCTTTTTTAGAAGAGGTTTAATTACAGCTAGCTTAAAAGACTGTGGTACATAGCCTGTTAATAAAGATATATTGATCATGTCTAATAAGTGAGTGTCAACTAAAGGTAAGACTTCCTTAAGTAGCCTAGTTGGGATGGGATCTAAGAGACACGTTGATGATTTAGATATATATATCTGACTGATCTTTAATGAAAGCTGTTGTCTTGTATTTTTTTCCTCTGACAATATTAACCTTACAGTCAGACACAATTTAGTTAACCTGTGTAGCTGAGGGGACAGGTCTGACAAACTCATATGAGGCTGATTTACATGAGAATTCATGTAAAATGGAGGTTGAACTATGAACATAAATTACAGAAAGCCTGTAAAGTATTTCAGTAAATTAATCTCATAATTAAAACAAATGGAGACTGAGAACAAACTGATATCTCCCTCTCCCCTCTCCACACACATACATGCACACACCTCACCTCCTGATGCTTTCCTTATAGGTCAGTTAAACAGGATAGTTTTATACAGTCTATGGCAGCAACAGTCATGTTTACAACAACAAAGTCACTATTTAAAACCCAGTAATATCTCACTGGAATATAAATATTCCTCCTGACACCACAATACTGAGTGAAGAAAGTCATGTTATCTCAGCATGAAGACAAACATCAGTATGAGTCATTCATCCTGCTCTCTGTCCCTCCTCTACTGAGGACACTCACTGTCTGCAGGTCGGCTGCCTCAAGTACATCTTCAGATAAAGTATTAGCCTACATACAGACAGCTTTCATTTTAGTTTGTCTTTAACACTTTGCTGTTAGCCTCGCGAGCGCGATGTGCTTGTGTCGACCGCGATCGTAAATCATAGTGGTGAATGAGAGAATCATATTTCAAGACAGAGCGGGTTGAAATATGGCTTTCTATATGCTGATCATATGTATCGATAAAGTATTGGCTTGGCTGGCAGAGATTTCGCATCGCATTTACTTACAGTAACAAGCGTAGTTCTTATCAACTAGAGTGATCTTTAAGTTATATATTCCCTTCATCTGCACCACGGCCTCTCTGCTGTTGTCTGACTTCACTCTATTGAGTTGAGTTGAGTGCCTTGGCAGACTTTGCAAGTGCAGAGGGTGGATATTTGGATTCAGCCTCCGACTTCACTGCAACTTGTTGTCACCACCTCCTGCTGCAGCTGCCTGCTCTCGTCCACTTTCCAGGCGAGGCACAGTTCATCTCAAACAAGCCTACTGATGAGTGTAGGTGACGTGATCCTCGCAGTTAACTAATCACTCACTCTGGACTTTATCTGGACTTTCCCCCTCTCACGCACTTTGGCCAACACTGGCGGACTCGCTCTCTCGTTTTACAACATTTGTTCTGATGTCTTCATATGTGCTAGCAGGAAATGTTGCTCTGTCTCCACCTGTCTCTGTCTCTCTCTCTCACACCTTCCGTGTGTGTGTGTTTGTGTGTCTGTGTGTGTGCGTGCGCTGTGAGAAGGAGGTCAGCCCTGACAAGCAGAGAGCAGGTTCATGCCAGGCTCGAATCAAACCCACCACTGGTGATGTACGCATCGTCTCATTTGATGTTACCCAATAAGAATCCAGAATGTCATCGCAGTTTTTTTTCTCAATAGACGCAGGTGTCAAAGCCGTGTTGACAGGAAAGAGGCAGAGGAGAAAACCGCAAAATCACCTGGGGCGGTGTGGGCGGGGCATCAAGGCCACTGTGGCCTTAGGGCAGATATTTTTTTCAAGGGCACAGAGCCAAATTAGGAGGGCACTGCCATGGCCCTTGTGAAATTCCTGCCCTGCTAGGCACTGTTCATCAACTTATATGACATATATGTGAGTATGACAGCAGCATTAGTTGAACTTTTCTACAGAAGCGAGTAAAACGGTCTGGAGGGCTATTAGCCGCTTGAAGTCTCTGCCTTGGCAGACTTTGCAAGTGCAGAGGGTGAATATTTGGATTCAGCCTCCGACTTCACTGCAACTTGTTGTCACCACCTCCTGCTGCAGCTGCCTGCTCTCGTCCACTTTCCAGGCGAGGCACAGTTCATCTCAAACAAGCCTACTGATGAGTGTAGGTGACGTGATCCTCGCAGTTAACTAATCACTCCCCCTCTCACACACTTTTGCCAACACTGGCGGACTCGCTCCCTCGTTTTACAACATTTGTTCTGATGTCTTCATATGTGCTACATTGTAGCAGGAAATGTTGATCTGTCTCCACCTGTCTGTGTCTCTCTCTCTCTCACACCTTCCGTGTGTGTGTGTGTGTGTGTGTGTGTGTGTGTGTGTGTAGGCTACAGATCCACCAGGACCTGAGAGAAGACTTGGCCAAGGTGAAGACCCTTGAGGGTTTGGCTGGTGTCAGCCACCAGCTTAAGCTGCGCTGCCAGGTAAAAGCTCACAGTAGCTTTAACAATGTTCAGCAGTACCGGAGGGAGGTAAAACAAAAGCAGGAAAACTTAGAAGTTTTCAAGAGAATGAAAAATCACTCCAGTTGATATCAACAATGCAATGCTCAAGCAACAAGTAGAGTCATATTCTAAGTTAATAAGTAGGATTATTAATCAGCTGTTGCTATTTGTGTAGCATCAGACATTACTGTGACTCATTTCCACGTGGTATTAACATGCAGTCTATCTGCTACATTATCCTGATCATGACATCTCATCACACGCCACTGCATTCACACATACAGGGTTTCCAGCAGCGTATCCTAGCCAAGGAAGCTATAAAAGAAGGGAAATTTCATGATGTCAGTGACAACATATGAATTTGGCATTGGAGCCAGAATTTGGTGCTACTTCTGTTGAAGTCAATAGGGCGGGCACGGCAAATCACACCATAACCAGGGCTGTATTTTTTTTTTTTTTTTTTTTTTCAATATAAAGGTTTAAAGATAAAACAGGGTTCAGCTGATGTTTCAGTGTGAGAGTGACATTCACCTAATATAGTAAACAAGCTAACTGTGGATGGATTGTAAATGTACAGTATCTCACATAAGTGAGTACACCCCTCCCATTTTTGCAAATATTTCATTATATCTCTTCATGGGACAACACTATAGAAATGACACTTTGATATAACTTAAAATAGTCAGTGTACAGCTTGTATAGTAGTATAGATTTACCTTCCTCTGAAAATTACTCAAAACACAGCCATCAACATCTAAACAGCTGGCAACATAAGTGAGTACACCCCACAG